CGGGCCTTCTATTGTCCAGAATTGGCCCCCAGCGGTCAATAATGGACCTGCTAGGCACTACAGATCATAATGGTACCTGTAGGGGTCAGAATGGGCTCTTTAAGGCCAGCATGGCTCTCTTCAAGCCTGAATGAGCCCCTCTGCAGGCCAGAATGAGCCCTCCATACTCCATAATATGCCTTCTTCATGTCAGAATGGACTCTCTATATCTAAGCACGGGCCCGTAGCAGACCAGAATGAGCCCTCCACAGTAAATAATGTGCCCTGTACCGGTCAAAACCCTGCCAGAATGGGCCTTCCACGATCGGTAATAAGCCTTCTACAGGTCAAAATGGGCCCTCTGTAGGGCAGAATGAGCTCCCGACAGATTAAAATTCCCCCTCCCCCAATACGGGGTCTTCTACAGGTCATAATAGGCCCTCTACAGGCCCTAATTGGCACTCTGCAAGCCAGAATGGGCCCTCTACAAATCAGAAGGGACCACAGTCAATATAATGTGCCGTTTACAGGTCGGCATGGGCCCCTCTATAGGTTTAAAATTGCACTGTTTTGGTCCCATAGGGCCCTTAACATACCAGAATAAGCCCTTCAGCCCTCGACAGCTTAGAATGGACTTCCTTAGGCTTGCATGATCCCTTTACAGCTAAAAATCGACTCTTAACACACCCACATGCTCTCCAAGTTGGGGGGGGGGGGGGGGCGGGCGGAGCCTCTAGATTTTAAGCAGAACGGGGGACTGCCCCCACTGTCCCCTCCCCTGGTTCCCGTGTCCTTGAATATACGTGATGTCACACGCTGACATGATGCTTTTGAAACGAACAGAAACCGCCTCATTCCCTAGTAATGGTGTAGGATCAGTTATGTATATTTCACCCATTGGGAGAAACAACTTTAGCAAGAACGCAACCGTGCCAGCCGCTACATTTTGACGATAATGCTGAACACGGTGAAGTATTTCAGTGGCATCATCATCAAGGGCGGGTCGTTTGACAACAGCGCTGGCCGACATCACCAGCGCTCAGCGCATCACCAGGCCCAAATGTACACCGGGCCCGGGGTGCTGCGCAGCGAACCATTGCAAACGTCTGGCTCGCCAGCGCCATTCTGAAGGCTGCCAGAACAATTTCGGGATTGCTCAGTTTACTTGCAAGTGTTCCTGAATCGCCCAGAGAAGCAGTACGAAACAAACCTGGTGTCGAACACCTCAAGGGCAAAATGGTCTATTGGCAACTTGGGCATAACCTGAATCGGCATGGGTTGCCAGAAGTTTCTTCATAGCGGCTGGGGTAGGGGGGCTCTGGCTGCATCAGATTCGTGGTGTGCAACATGGACCGCATTTTGCAAGTTTGGGGTCCTGACTCCCCCCCCCCCCCGACCTGCCAAATCTCAGGAAGTGCATGGATGTCCACTTTGATAAAAAAAGGGAGGCGTGCTAGTCACTCGAAGGTACAGGAACTTGGTGTTCATCCCCACTGGATTCACGGAAATTTGAAGAAAGGGAGCGCATGGCAAGACATCCGAGGAAGTGACCGGTGCTGCTTGAAACGTTAATTCAAACCCTGCGATTATTAGCATTATCCACATGTGTTTACCAGGAGAGGATGGGTAAGGTGTACACCAATCAAAAGTCGCGCAGCCGACCAGGCTTTGTCATCACTCCGGGGCACCGTAAGTGTCGGGGCACTGGGCACGGGATTGCATGATTTGGCTCTATAATGAGTTTCACTCATGTCGTGGGCCCACATGGTCCAAGGACCCTACCAGCCGCCGCATAAGAAATCCTGGTTTATTAGACCACTGCACGTATCCCACACTCCTCTTCACTTGAGTAACCCACCCACGCTTCATCACTGTCATTGAATCACCATACGCTGGAGGAACTCGGCCATAATGGCCCAATAAGCACCAAGCAAAGAACTGCATTTCCAAATCTATGAAATGTTTTAGAACTGTTTGCGTGTTTATGTACGCCGGGCCGATACCATTATCGATGACACCAAAACTGTAGGTCCGAAACCTGCTATCACTGACGGATCCGTGTGTTTCGCCACCCTAAGCCCTGGGCGCTGTTTAACGGGATATTCAAGGCATCCTCCAAGCCAAGCCCTGTCTGTACCGTTCAGCCATCTGGCACCGACGATCAGAAGGAGGCGTGCAGAGCACGAGAAGCCGCCGCCTTCAAACCTGACCTCCGCTCAGAAACGTGGGCTCTTCCCCACCGCATGACTGTGAAACAATCGTTCTCACTCGTCGCTGTGCAGCCCACCCCAGAGGTCAGCGTCACAGCTCGGTTAGCTCCGCGCTCACATTGTCCGGCTAGTCGATCCCGGCGCGGGTGAAGGCCGCAGACGCCGCGGGGCGGGGGTGAACGGCCCGCGGGCGTGTCGACGTTTGTGGCGCACCGCCGCGTCTCAATGGCCGCGCCGGCGCGGCCGCTGTCTTCCGCGGCGACTCAAAGCGCCGGCGGCAGCCGGGAGGCGGATGGACTGGCCATTGGCGTCACAATCAACAGGAAGGGCCTGTGTGGCGACGAGACGGGCTCAGCGCGGGACGGGACAGTAAATCATTAGCGACGTGCCGGGGGTCCGACAGTCGAGACGCAGCGCCTAAGGGCCTCTTTCGTCACGCCCAGTTGGTGTCTTCCTGGTCGACTGCCGGAGTTTTAACCGCTCAATCTGGTCACTACACTAGACAGCTCTGAGCATCTGAATCTACTAATTCAGACCAAAAGTATGATCTACTCACAAACTATCACCTCTGAAAATAACGTCGTCTTTGGCTATCTCAGTAGTCGGGACGTAGTTGCTTGGTTGCCATAAGCATTGACGTCTGGCGTGTAGGAGGAAATGCTCCCATCGTCAGTGTTCAGCCACGCGCTAGTTAAATAATGTCCACGCACTACGACCGTGTCAAACCGTTTGGCGCGTCAAAAGGCTCTGAAATTTCCCAAATAGCGATTTCAGATCTAAACGCACGAACTGCGTTCCACGAACGTTTGCACTTCATCGGCTCTTTTTCCAAAGCCACAGTCGGTGGTCTCAAAAAATCCGCTGACCTCCATCGGCCTCCATTGCAACTACCTAACTCCAAGGTTCTTTGATACCTTAGAACGTCTTTGGTCATCTTTGCCGTCACCGGGTGCTTGGTGTGTCCAGTCTCAGTACATCTCAGAGATGTCTGACCTTCTCGGATGATGTAACCTCAAGAACACGGATTCTGTGACTCTGTCATTTTCTCCGAGTGACTGAATGCCCGGGCAGATAGTGACGGCTGAATTGCGATTCAAGAAACTGTTAAACAGCCATGCGGCAGCCAAACAGCCCAGGATGGAGGGCAGGCTTGTTGCATAGAGAGTCGTGGTGCAGTTGTGTCGAAGAATGGCGCTTTGAGGCGATTTGAGAGCTCTTTAGTTTATCAGAGTGCTGGCAAGCTCTAGCTTATGGACTGCAGTAGTAAATACACTTCCAAATCATCCAGGACGCTAAAAGGGTCATGGTGTCCCTGAAACGGTCATGACCAGTCACTGATCACCCATGACCACCCGTCATTACATCTGCAGGTTTTTCAGACTTAAACGAGAACCAACGCACTTCATTTGGTTCTCGAAACGGTCTGTGACATTAAAAGGTGCATGGCCAACAGATCCACCCGACAAATTCACGCGAGCAGTCTTGCTGTGAAACGTTGCGCCACTTGAAGAATCGCTTCGATCTTCGCCTCGTCTTGATTCGACACAGTTAGCGCGGCTGCTACAGCTGACTGTGTGCCCCAGGTGGAATGAGAATCCAGGCTTCAACATGTCATTGACGGACGCAATTAGAAGTGACAGTACTTCATAACAATGTCATATGTGGGCTTGTCACGCTTGGGCTTAGTTTTTGCATTCGAGCCAGTGCTTCATGACAGTCAGCTGTCATGCATGCTCTGTTTCACACGCGGCCTGCTTGTGTTTGTCAACCGTCGTCCATAATTATAGTTTTTCAGACGCTTCGTCTCGCCTCTTGATTGCAGGTTGACAACGCTCACACTGGACTGAATAGATGCCTGAATAAAGGGTGCATACGTCACAATCTCGGAAGCGAGGTAAAAACACGGAGACGATGCTGACAGCGGCCATCGCTGTGGCCTGCACTTTGCTGAGTGTGGAAGAGTGACCTCCGATAAGGGAGCGGAGGTTCATGAGGCCCGAGGATGAACCAGAGCATCGTGTCCGCGCACGACCGTGGACTTTATGTGTTGTCGCGTGCAATTGCAGGCTCCGAATGAAGTAGATGAATCGTGATGCAGTATAATTAAGCAGCCTAGAACAAATCTGGACGGGCAATATTGAATAGAGATACAAATGTTGATATCTACCTTTTTCTTGCATACCGCGTGAACGAGTTTTTTGAATTGTTACTGAACTTCGCAGATGATGCCATAGGGAAAGTAATGAGTGCGAGATTACAATAGGTTGCTAAAACGCATGTATGGTTCGAATATTTCACCTTTCGTCAAATGGAAATAGATGTTGCGCCCCGGGGCGGAAAATAAGCCTTTGCGGCCAGGGCAAGGGCTTATTAGGCTGGAATGTTAGCTTGTGCCTACCCCCATTGGTAAAAGACCGCGACGGTGTCCCCAACGCTGCCCGGAGGGATAAGCGGACCTGGGTGGTCCCATTCGGCGCCAGATAGGCCCGAGGTCTATTTCGGTGGTCAGTAGGTCCACACAAGGGGTCGACGGATCCGTGTCTACGTGACTGCCAGGCATGGCTGGCTACTTTCAAGTGACCTATTATTACATTGGTCCGCGTGTTTCCCACGTGACCTACAGACCCATGTGCCCCCCTCCGTTAGTGGCCTTAAGACGTGCGACACTGACCCACGGCCCCAGACATCCTCATCGCTCTCACGGACCCCGAGTCTGGCCGGCGGCGGTGACAGGGTGAGTCCGGCGGAGGCTCGACCGTCTGGACGGCCGACTATAAGGTGGCCTGGCAAGGTCGCCGGGCCGTCATTCAGTGCCTCGTAGTCGCGGCGGTCGAGTGCCCAGCTCCCCAGCGAGACGTGGTAGGAATGAGGGTGAGTACGCGCCGCCGTCTCGGCCCGCGAGCGGCCGCAGTGCGGTTGACTTCGGTCGGGCTCGGTCATCCCTCAGCTGCTGGGATTGCCGTATCGCACCAGGCCACTGGGCAGGCGGCACCTGATCCGCTTATTTCAGTTTTTCTTATTGAATCGCCTCCAATTTTCGGTGAGTGCTTTAATCATGTGAAAGTACATACCAGTATACGCCCCAGGCGCGTTAGATGCCCCCTGTCAGAGTAGTGAATGTTGCGTCAATCATGTATCAATTAATATTGACGAATGCCGCGCTCGCTTACTAATACATCTAAAGGTGGGTGATGGGCGCCTGCGGAACTCCTGACGCGCTGTGGATTCTTACATGTCTCTTTGCTCCAAGAACCAGCGGTATAAATTCGGTCCGACTATGGACATGACACAGCCGCGCGACGAGGGGAAATGTCCCGCTGCCATTAAACATCTCTGCTCGACATGTGCTCGGGTACCCTTAGCGCAGTTAAATAAAACACTACATACACTGACTTCGTGCAGCATAGAACATCGGCCAATGAATATTAATGAGCGGGGTGTATTAGAACTCCAAAGTTCCTACAGATGGCAATCTATATACCTCGCAGTGAGTGAGGCCCATTAGAGCTCCACACCTCGTACTGATAACAATCAATATATCTCGCGGTGAGCGAGGCCCATCGGCACGTCACGCGTTACTGGCGCCAAATGATCACTGCAGTCGGCATCTTTAAATGGTCACTGCAGTCGGCATCTTTAAATGGTCACTGCAGTCGGCGTCTTTAAAAACCACGATGAACAATACGCTGCTGACGAAAGAAACCATGCCTGTGCGAAGGTGGGGTTGCCAAAGAAGCTCGTAAGTGCTTTTTGCAGCGTAGGCTTTGAGATTCTGATCTCTAGCAGCATTTCCGTTTGAATCTATTGGAAACATTAAAAAAAATATTAGCAGAACATCACAACCATCGTTTTTGTAAGATTGGCCTCGCGATGGGGCAAATGATTCCCGCTCATGATTCGGTACGACGCCATTTCCTCGCACAAAACCACATCAGACGTGCCATGTTAATCACACACATGAGTGTGCTTGTAAATTACAACAGCTGCATAGCTCTACAACTTATTAGTTTGTTCTAACTTAATGTTTCCTAATTCTAACGTTCATTCGCAACGGAGACCATGCTTGAATATCTTATGAAATAAGGCACACTCTTGACGGTGCAGCCCGGCAAATGCACATCTATTGACGTGTAGACCATTGATGACGTCACAGGGCAGGTTACCGGCCAACATTTTGTGAACTCCCATTGAAATGAAACACCTTTACATTCAACGTTCGTGTATCAGCAGATATATAAGATAGCTAAATGCTGAAAATAATTAGGCAATTCAAATGTCTCCTCCGTGATGGATGCCATTCGTCCATACAACCTAATGCCGTCAGTCAGGTGGCACTGCATTATGTGTGCGTTTCTTCGTAAGCTTGCAAGCGCTTCCTAACTTTATAGAGTACTCAACTAAAACGCTACCCACTTATCGGGAAGCACTTTATAAAACGCACGCTTTGCAGACAACTGACTTGACTGAATGTACTGAAACTAAAGGCTACGGCGGGCTTATGACAGGCTCCAAAACTAAAGATACTTGCAACGTTTGATCGCGAGACATCACGCAGAAATGACAGAAAATAGCTTAGGCGTGGACGGACCTACCTTTAATTCGTAACACGTACTGTGAATAACCAGCAAGCTGAAGTTTCAGTTGCAATAGAGCATACACAAATCTCAAGTAACCTCAGGGTTGTAATTTGGTACCTGACTTCAATTGGTGATGTTTTTGTGCTTTGCCTTGCGATCCCTTGAACTTTTTGCCAAACCATAAGTGCTCATGACGCATACCAAGCTCACAAGCAGTTGCTGCAGGCCCGTAGGAAACATGCATGGAAGTGAAACATGATCGGAAGCTTATAATCAACTGTCGCCCGTCGCCCTGTGACGTCATTTTGTCCCGAGAACATGAATAGAGCTTCAATTTTTGACACGGAGTTTATACGATTTATTAGTATTATTAAAGTGTCGCGTTAGTTGTCTCCGACCAGCCAGTCTGTAGGCCAAGCAAGACTTAACCTCGGGTAAGCATAGATAGTGCGGCTTCTTTTGCCTGACCCTGCCTATCCCGACCTGGCTTAAACGGGTCAGTCACGCTTTTGATGTTTTCAGATCTTTGCAAATAGTTTTCGTTCTGCCCTGAAGTTTTCAGCAACAATAAGCACAGTTTCTTAAAAGAAGATATACCGCTAGATTTCCAAACTATTTGCGATGTCATCTTTGGATCAGTCAGGAAAGTCTGACAGCATTTTAGCACTAAGTTTTAAAATACATCCATAGATCACGGAGCAGTAATCACAGCAAAATGCACTCTGACTGAGGATCGTGCTGGCAAAAGTGTGGGTCGGCGTGTGCAGACTGCCATGCGCTAGCGGGCCGAAGCCATGGCTTTCTCCTTTCCAAAAAGCCTATGTCAGCGGCAGCTAAACCGGAGAGAGAAGTAAAACATTATACAGCGCATGCGAATATGCTGTCTTCAAAATGATTGCCAATCTCAACATTATCCGGCCGCTTTGTAGGCCAGCAGTGCCATTTATTAAGAGCTGACCAATACTACCCTTTCGAAAGCGAAAGCAGGCTATAGATAAAATACAAGTACGCTTGCAGAATAGCCTATCCGACTACTGTATTTGTATTGCTTATGTACTATGTTATACCCCATATCTATGTAGATCCCTGAGAATATTTCGACATTTTTTTCTGAAAGGTGTCCAAAATGTCTAACAGTCAGTCATAAACTTGGCACCAGAAGATACCTGCTATTACCAGCTGTTACCTGTTATTTTCGCCAAGCACCGCCAACAAAGCTTATCATTCCACCGCGAGTTGAAACACATTTGTGATTCACATAACGTTACGGTGATTTATCTCCGTTATTGTCAAATTTATTGTAGAAAAAAACTAAGCAGGCCTCCGTCCGAAATTTTACGGTCCTGGTTAGGCATTACGTTATCGCCAATCAACCGCTTCTGAGCGAATGCACAATAAAAAGATCGATAAACGGCCGCGGCGCAAGGGTGTCTCATAAAGGAGGAGGTCAAAAACGGCCGTCGATTCTTTCCATGCATCGCCGTTGGTTTAATGTTAACTTTCAAGAATAGAAAGAAAGCCATGTCCCCTCCCCTCCTGACGTTCGTATACCTATGGTGGACACACAGGTACCTTGGTCATCGTCAGCTGCCTTGGCACCGATGAGATGCGGTGCTTCCAGATCTGCCCGCACTTACAAATGGAACAGCGCAAATAAAACCCGATGAGCCTAGCGTGACACTGCACATGGTCCGGGCTTGATTTTTGGCAACAACCAGAAAAATATCACTGGATAAAGACCGCTAACGCGTTCATGTCTAGACCGCCTCTATTTCAGACAGTATGACATGCATTTGCAGTGACTTAAAAAAGCTGGCATTGTCTTGGACGTGAGGTCTTCGCATCAATCCACACGTTTCTCATCGTTAAAGCCCGGAAGATGGTTTAGAACTCTTATGCTTTCTAAAGCGTTTCGAGTCGGAGCTGTACTAGGCGCACAATAATCTCCATGAACTTCGGTCACAGCGTGATACGACACAAACACGACTTGTGATCTCCCGGGAGGATTTGTCGCCGCTGTTCTTAGTAATCTTCTGCCGCTGTGACAAGAGCAGACACGAGTCATGAAGGGGGCCTCAGGCTTCTTGGTCACAACACATTCCAATACGAACTGAGCGTCATGGGGTTACGCCGCACAAGTATGCGTCACGGCAGATGAAGCGCCAAAGGGAGCCCCGCCACGCATGCGCAACAGGCTAGGATGTACTGCGAAGTAGGCACGTGTCTCTGGCCTTTATAGGTCTTGAAAGTACCGACCCACATTCCAAAAATACACCAATCGGAATTCGGAACAAAACAGCCCTACGCAGACATTTTTGTGGGGATTTCTTTCGCGGTTTTAATGAGCGAGAGCGATTCCAATCGCTCGATGATTCAATAAATGCAGTGCTTCAAGATTCTTGACGCTGCGCAAACAAGTTAAAGAGGATTACGAAGAAGCTTCGCCATAGCACGTGAAGTATCAAGGAAACGTGTACAAGGGCGAACAAAAATGTCACGCGAAAAAGAAACTACAGCCCACATCAGACAAAACGAACACTTACTAAATGATTTACGAAACCTTCGTTGCCTGTCGCACATCGTAATTTGTGCGCATTTTTCATTCCCCTTAACTCAGAATTACTTCGGTTCGGCTCCTCACCGCGACATGCGGAATGGAGACCGAGCTGTCTCACTGTTTGTCCTTTTCGGACAATCCGTTGCTCGACTTCCCTCTGATTGTCATACTTTAACCTATCGCCCCTTCCCTTAACGTCACTGCACGCTTACCATAATAAATGATACCCTTGGCGACCGACATAAGAACAGCCACGATGTGTGGCGAATATGTCGATTAGTCTAAGGCGAATACAAACTACAGCACAGTGCCGTCTGAACATCCCCTGTGGAGTATCAGTTGTCTGCATGTACCATCGTACTATTAAAACTTCATTGCTTTGCGTACGCTAACGACTTGCCAATATTGGGCTAGATCCGTGCGTCGGCGGTGTGAAGACGGAAACGAGCACGCAGCCTGCCGGCCGGTCCTACCCCTCCCCAGATCCTCCGCCGGAGGGCCCGGCCTCCCCACCAGACGGCGGGAAGCACGCGGGATCCGGGTGCCGGCGGCGGCAGCGGCGGCGGCGGGCATCTGCTCGCTCCCGAGGCCGTCCAGCAGGCGGCGGATCCGCCGCCCAGCTCGCCCAGCACCCCCGCCCAGCCCGCGGGCGGCCCCATGAAGGCCGCGCCACGCGTCTCCCCCCCCCCCCCCCCCCCCCCACCTGTCCGTCCGATCAACGACCGACCCCGACCGCT